ACTTGTATCGCTGAAGTTTCTCGGAAGAATTTCTACGGGAAATTAACAAACAAGTACATACGCAATAGTATTTTAAGATTTTCCTCTGATAGACAGTGTAAGCATTTATTTGAAAAAGAACCTAATTATACGGCTGCTACAAACGGCTTAGAATGATCGTGTTAAGAACTCTTTTATGAGTGAAAACTATGTAGTAGTTACACAGTTACAAATAAACCAGTTTCTATCACAAGGCTGCACCATATAATAAACAACCTTAAAAACTTCCTGTAACGATTCCATAAAATAACCTTGGGCTTTAATAATACCCAGTACTGAAAGCCTGGTAAATCTTGGGCTTTAATGATACCTTGTACTAAGGGTTTAGTAAATCATACATTTCATTTTAATGAGGCCAGCTATATATTTATTCGTGGATTTTAGAAACAAAAAATATATTACTATTTTGTAACTTCCTCTGCATAATTTAATGTGAAGGTTAACAAGTATCTTAGCCTTCTTTTTGTCATATGAAAGCAAGTGCTTACGTAACAAGTACAAAAAAAAAGTTAAAAGTGACGCTTGATTATAGATACAACTTAACCCTTAAGTTAACAGGAAATCTTTCAAAGGGGAAAGTATTGTACATATTTGGAACTAAGTCAAGGAAAACCGACAAAAATGAAAAACGTCGTCAGATAAGCTAGTTCCCGAGTGGATAAAATTTATCAAGGATAAACAACCTTACAGTTAATTTCAGTAAAAACAGAATAGGGTTGAATTTTAGCCAACAGTGTTAGATTCGGCTGAATGATATATATAAAGGTGCAAGAAATTATATAATATTATATATCAGTTAGAGTTGTACAAATCTCGTTATCACGTTGTGACGAAATAAACAATATCATGTACCAATTTGGTCTTTAAAACCAATTACCACATTGTGACGAAATAAACAATCTATATACTACTAAAACTCTGAGATTTGTTTTTTTTTTTTTTTGTTTTTTTTGTTTTGCTTGTCTGTAATTAAATACAGCAAAAACGGCGTATAATAGCGCCATATTTGTAATGAAATGAGAATAGAAACAAAATAAAACAAGTTTCGTTAAATTCGTGCCACGGGTTACCGAGTTAGCGCCGTTTTTCGGGTCACTTTTATGAAAATTTCTAGCATGAGTAATTTTAAATCACACTACCGTTCGCGCTCTTTACGAAACTTCGTTCAAATCTATTTCCTTGTCAATGTTCCCATCTTCTACGAAAATGAAATGGTCTTTCCTTTTACTCCCGATCAACAATCAAATATCTTTTCTCGAATTATGAATAACACGAATGGATTGAAATATCTCAAAATAAACCTTCAATTCGGTGCAATATTGAATTGAATAGTGGGTGACCCAACGAGTCACGGGTGGTCTAGTATCATATAGCAGTCCTGTCCGTATAAACCAACTATCACGTTGTGACCAAATAAACAACACAGTATATCAGTTAAAGTTATATAGATGTCATTTTCAGTAAATTTACCTTAAAACAGCTCTCTCTCTCTCTCACATACGATAAAGCTACGTAGTTGGTAAACGTTCCCTCTCATTTACTTTAAAATAATTAAGACCAGTTAATTACTTGCTATAGCAAAAATAATGGAAGACCTACCTAGTAATCAGAACTGTAAACCCATAAGTAACAAACACAGAGACTTCTGAACTCTCAATCTCGTGCTCTTTTATGGTAACTGGTAGTCACGTGGTTTACTTGAATCATGACGCTTCTAGAAACTTTGATGTCAGGTGGGTATGAAGTGTGTACATAAACTCATTATTCTACATTTGACCTTGGGCCTCCAGGCTAGCCTGGCATAAAGTCAAGTTGTACAAAGGTAAACAGGCACAGGAAGGAGAGAACAGATTCACGTTCACAACTTTTTCAGCAATACAGTCAAAGCAGGTTTGCAATAACTAATCGTTAGCCACGTGTTTTGTTGCGACCGGTTCTCTGTAGGAAGTGGCCGAGACTCGTTTTTAGTTTCGAAATAAATGACTTTGTACTCAGATAAATAATTAACAGGAACCAATGTCCCGCTATTACAACACGCTGTGACGATACCTACTCGTAGAATGGTGAAACGAAATTAAATACGTGAGTCAGTACTGTTGTTCGAACTTGTTCTCAGAATTCTAAACCGTTGACTGAAATACAACAGTGTTAATTAAAAACCTTAGAGAAAATTTATTTCCGCATATATTACACAGCAGATTTCATTCATTTAAATACGTTACTGTTCAAATGAAACATAATCGTCTTAAAGCAAAAGTATTCAAAATTAGTAAAAACAAAAAAGAAGAATATTGTTTCCAAACGCATTACTATTAGTCTTAACTAATGATGGTACTTGAAATTAATTTTTAGACTTAAACTTTGTGATAGAATTTTTAAGATAAACCTTGTCTATTGGTTTGAGTGCTTCATCTTCTTTCGGCGTTTAAACCGTAATTTTTCGGTTATATCAATTGTGTTCTAAAGAAGGGATTCTCAAACTGTGGTACGTGGAGCTAATGTAAATGGTACACGACACAATTATTTATATAAAATCATAAAATTTGTTAAAAGCTTTATCTGAGCTTTCCACGTGTACATATAAAAACTACTCTCCATACTTATAGACTCACCCTCTACTTACATAGACTCGCCAGTATTTTCTTTCTTTAAAATTGACAAAAATGGTACCACATATTGCTCAATCGTGCCAGAAAAAACAACCACATCCTTCGCTTTAATGGTAAGTGTTAAAAACATAAATGTTTGTTTTTAGGTTTTTTATCTTTTTAAAAAATTATACCTGGGTTTGTAATGTTAATAAAATAAACAAAAACTGGCCTGAAATGACCATTGTTCTAAAGAGACGATTATTTAAAGCTCTGGATACAACTGTGGTAATCAACAGTATAAAGAACATTTGTATATAGATTTGACTTATTTTAATATATTATTGTAAAACAAGTGGATCGTGTGCTGTTTGTTTATCGTTGAAATTTATCATCAACGAATCACACACACTTACTATAAAGATTCCAGACCCTACATAAAATCTCAGAGGTTATATGACGTAATTAGAAAAATACGTTCTGATAGGTGTAAAATACCGATGTATTTGTGGTATAGTCATAAATTGAAGAATAAACTGAAAACTAAAAAAATATAACAGTTTGATATGATTTTCGTAAATTTATATAAAAGTCACAAACTTTGGAATGATACTAATATTTGTTTTCACGAGTCAGGCAAAGCTAGTGTATAAATATACATACATATAAGCCACGGTCTGTTGGTAACGCTCAAATTACCTCATTGGTTATAGCGCCTGGGACTCAAGCAGAATTTTCACGTTCAAATATTACTACAGTTCGGGTTATATATAATAAGTGATCGTGTTTATAGCGAACTCTTTTAATATTCGTAAAACATAAATACCATTATAACTTAAATTAATATTCATGAACATTGGATTTCAAAACCTAGCTCTCAAGGTAGCTACGTTAGTTACAGTGTTCAACTCTCCTTTCAAACTATCTCGTTCAAATCTCAGTCGAATTAAGATTTTGTGTTATTTTTTAAAGGTTAATTATCATATTCACAGTAATTTCTTTCAATACCATTATAGATTAAAGCAGGTATTGGTTAACATTCGAATTAAAAGGTAGCATGCTTACAGCATCAATTTAACACCATCTATGAAATAATTGATGAATAAAAATTCTGAATAAAACGAAAAATAGTTCAGAAACAGTGCAAAAAAGAAAACGTCACTTACCAAGAGAAAGAAAAAGTAGATGGATGGTATGACAAGGTCAAGAAAACTTTGATAAACTTAGAATAACTGAAGCTGATGGAAAACAATTGACAGCTATTCCATCATTCCTCTGAATATTGGGTTAACGTTATTCTACTGAAATACCTCCTTATGCAGGACTGGTTAACGTTATTTCTCCGAATATCTGATTAACCTTATTCTACTGAAATACCTCCTTATGCAGGACTGGTGAACGTTATTTCTCCGAATATCTGATTAACCTTATTCTACTGAAATACCTCCTTATGCAGGACTGGTGAACGTTATTTCTCCGAATATCTAATTAACCTTATTCTACTGAAATACCTCTTTATGCAGGACTGGTTAACGTTGTTTCTCCGAATATCTGATTAACCTTATTCTACTGAAATACCTCCTGCTAGATAACTGGCTAACATTATTCTACTAAAATACATCGTACTCAAGAAATGGATGACGTTATTTTGCTAAAATAGATCATGCTGGAGAATTAGTTATAACGTTATTCTAGTTCAATATCCCCTGTTCTAGGACTGATTAACGTTATATTACTGAAATATTTCATGCTGGTGAACTGGTTAACGTTTTCTACTGAAATACCTCGTACTGGAGAACTGGTTAACGTTATTATACTGAAATGCCTCCTGCTCAAGAACTGATTAATGTTATATTAGTGAAATACCTCTAGCTTCTGAACTGGTTAACGGTGTTTTATTGGCAAATCTCGTTCTCGAAGACTGTTTAACGTTATTCTACTGAAATATCACTTGCTGAAAAACTGGTTAATGTTATTCTACTGAAATATCTCGTGCTGGTGAGCTAGATAACGATATTCTACTAAAATACCTAGTAGTGGTGAACTGGTTAACGATATTCTACTGAAATACCACTTGCTGCAGACTATTCAACGTTATTCTATTAAAATACGTCGTGATGAAGAACTGGTTAACATTATTCTATTGAAATACCTCGTGATGGAGAACTGTTTAATATTATTCTAGCGAAATACCTCGTGCTAGTGAACTGACCGATGCTGTTCTATTGAAATATCTCGTGCTACAGAACTGGTTGGCGTTATTTTGCTGAAATACCTCCTTCTAGAGAACTGTTTAACCTTATTTAATTAAAATACCTCGTGCTGGAGAAGTGGTTAACGTTATTCTACTGAAATACCTATTGCTGGTGAATTAGTTAACGTCATGCTATTTAAATACCTCTTGCTAGTGAACTGGTTAACGTTATTCTACTGAAATACCTCGTACTGGTGAACTGGTTAACTTTGTTCTATTAAAAAACCTAGTGCCCGAGGACTGGTTAACGTTATTCTACTGAAATATCTCTTGCTGCACAACTAATTAACATTATTCTATTGAAATAACTCGTACTGGTGAACTGGTTAACGTTATTCTACTAAAATATCTGTTACTATAGAACTGGTTAACGTTATTCTACTAAAATATCTGTTACTATAGAACTGGTTAACGTTATTCTACTAAAATATCTGTTACTGTAGAACTGGTTAACGTTATTCTACTGAAATACCTATTGCTGGAGAAATGATTATCGTTATTATACTGAAATATTTGTGCTTTAGAACTGGTTAACGTTATTATACTAGAATACCCCGTGCTGGAGAACTAGTTAACGTTATTATACTGAAAAACCTCGTGCTGGAGAACTGGTTAACATTATTCTAGAGAAATACCTCCTACTGGATAACTGATTAACGATATTCTACTGAAATATCTCGTGCTGGTAAATTAATTAACGTTATTCCACTGAAATACCTCCTACTGGAGAACTGGTTAACGTTATTGTACTAAAATACCTGTTTCTGTAGAACGAGTTAACGTTATTCTACTGAAATACCTCGTGCTGGTGAACTGGTTAACGTTATTCTACTGAAATACCTCGTGCTGGTGAACTGGTTAACTTTGTTCTATTAAAAAAACCTCGTGCCCGAGGACTGGTTAACGTTATTGTACAGATATATCTCTTACTGGAGAACTCGTTAACGTTATTCTATTTAAACAACTCGTACTGGTGAACTAGTTAACGTTATTCTACTGAAATACCTACTGCTCAATAACTGGCTAACGTTATTCCATTGAAATACCTCGTGCTAAAGAACTGGCTAACGTAATACTACTGAAATACCTAGTGCTGGAGAACTGGTTAATGTAATTCTTCTGAAATACCAGGTGCTGGAGAACTGGTTAACGTTATTTTATTGAAATATCTCGTGCTGCAGATTTACAGTCGGACCCGTAAATAAAGAGCTGAACGAACATGAAATATCTTGTTCTATTGACTGATAATACAAACGATTACGAGACACATAACAATCATGCAATAACTTCTACTGTAAGAGTTGCTAAATTATTTCAATACAAATTACAATGAATACTAACTGGTGTAAATTATAAGCAACGGACAAACCACAATAAACCTCTATGACCTCTCTCTCTCCACAGGTCATTATTTGTTCTCTTGCGTTTAGCGGTGTTTTCGGTCTTTAACCTAAAAACACCTCTAGAGGCTAGGCCTACTTAGCACTGAGACAGGAGTGTCACATGTAAAGTTTATCACATTTGGCCAATGTAGTTTTTACTATTTACATATTTATGTTACATATTAATCTGTCTAGTACTATAAATAACTAAAATACATAGTAACTTATTTAAATTTAATACTATAAATCACATAAACACATATAAACTCCCGTTTTATTTGGTATCCATCAAATTCTGGCAGGATATTCACAGAACATCCTGTGTCTGTGTAACCTCTTGTGTAACTGGACAAGGTCTTCTTGTTTTCATTCACGGGTGTATTTAAGGTGGTCCTGCTAGAGTGAACCTATTATATATATATATATATATAGACTAAAATATTTTTAATAATATCCTTATTAAAGATTGTATGAAAGTGACGAATTATTATTCATTTTAGTTGAAAATAAATTGTGTTTAACAGGAAATTTAAGAAATATTGTGCGTAACTGTAGAAACTGTTTGTTTTTTGAATTTCGCGCAAAGCTACACGAGGGCTATCTGCGCTAGCCGTCCCTAATTTAGCAGTGTAGAGGGAAGGCAGCTAGTCATCACCACCCA